CTGTGTCCCCCATCTCTGTAACCAGTGCCATGGGTCGTCTGCTGCCAGGCCAGCCAGCCCCCAGCACTCGAACGAGCAGTGCCCTGCTTCACACAAGCAGTCAGGTGGTCTGGGAGGCCAGCGCGGGGCTGGGCGCAGCCAGGCCCACCTTCCCGCTCTGCTGTTCTCACCAGGTGGCTCTTGTGCCCCGAGCACCTCTGGGCATCACCTCCTAATTCAGGAAGGAATCAAGGGCCAAGATGGCCTACGAGCCACTTACCCAGAAGCCTTCCAGTCAGAGTGGGATCCCTTAGTTGTAGGGACATCTGGGAAGGTGACTTTTTAGCTGGCACATTGCTGAGCAAAAGCAGGGTCCTCTGAGCAGGCGGTAGACCAGAGCTCAGAGCTGGGCTGTCTTCTTCCCAGTATCCTGCCTTCAGAGCAGCAGATGCCGACACCCTCACTGCCCAGCCTCAGGGCTGCTTTGCGAGCCGAGCCTGGGCGTGGCCCTGTCCACTGTGTTAACACCCGGTCACTTTTTGAGCTCCCTAGGCTCTACCAACAGGCCTTTCTGGGCCTGGTTTCTGCACCAGGTGAGGCTGCCCAGCAGTTTCAGCAAAGGGATAGGACCATGTTCTCTCTGAACCTGCCCAGGCTCAAGGGGCAGGAGGGGGCCCTCAAGGCCCCAACGTAGCTATCTGGGGCGGTTCTCTGCTCTGACGGATATGGGACCCAGTATAGAGCAGGGCTACCACCTTAGGCTCCAGGAAAAGAAGTTATTAAAGATGACCGGGAAATCTGACAGCAGCTAGAATTTGGGCCGACACCAGGTGAGCTTCTAGAATGCTGTTGCAGAGAGCAGGAGAATCAAATTCCGTGAGTTAGGAGGCAACGAGGGCAAGCAGCCAGGAAGAGGACCCTGGCAGTCCTCACCCCCTTCTTCCTCCAGGAGGCATCGATGAGGGAGGAGACAAGCACTCCCACCGGGCCCACCTCCATGAGCAACACCGACCACTCCCCTACGTCAGGGCTCTCTGGCAGGTCCACACTTGGGTAACAGGGAGAAGGAAGGAGAGATGATAATCTCGTCCCAGCATGGTTAGGCACCGTGCTGGCGGCTGAGTCGCCCTTGCAGCTGGGCCCATCATCGCACATGGGTCCCGCTCACCTTCCAATCCTGCTGCCCCTGATAGCAAGCTGCGGCCTGAGCCCTCTGCAACACGGCCGAGTCTGCTGCACACAGCACAGAGGCTCGTGGGGCCTCTCCTTCCAGAGACCCCTCCAAGGCCCCCTACCTGGAAGCCTAGCCTCCCTGCTGCCACTGTTCCTTTCAGGAAATGGGAATCAGTGCCCAAGCCACCCAAGAAAACAAGTCAAGACCACCTCAGGTCAGTGCAACCCACTGCCTCTGCTGCCTGCTGGGGCTGGTGGCTGTGTGGGGTCTGGCCTCCCATGGTGCCTGGAGGAGAGCACCAACCAGGAAGCAAGACAAGCCCCATCAAAGCCCTCGCTGTCAGTCAGGCGACCTTCTCCCCTGCCAGCAGAGCCGCCCTGGTCCTTTGTTGACACACACACAGGCCACTAACCGTCTGGTCTGCTATGACCCAGGCGGCTCCCAGGCCCTGGCAGTTGAGGCAATTGTTGGGGGTGCCGCTGCCGGGGAAGGCACACAGCCCAGGCAGCTAGAGCTCTAGCTCTGGGAACACTAGCCAGAGAGGGACCCGCTCACGGAGTTGTTGGGGGGCCTCAGGCACTCCAGCCACATGGGCCTTGCCCAAGAGGAAGGCAGAGGAGAGCGAGAGGGCAGGTCAAGGGGACCCCAGCATCAGGCAGAATTTCTGCTAAGTCTCAGTCTGCAAACTCTGGTGAGGTGGAGGGTGGTGGCGGTGGAGAAGCCTGCAGGACTTCCGGCTGGTGGCCAGGTCAGTCGCCTGTCTCCTGCTTGATGTCCTTGACGGGGACAGGCAGCTGGGGACTGGCAGCCGTGTCGGGTGTAGCCCTGGCCGGGTGCTCCTCTTTTACCTGCACATCATCGGTGACTTCAAAGGAAGGGGGCAGGGAGGAGAGAAGGCGTGAGGTGACTCTGGGAAGGGCAGGGCCTCGCCCTCCTCTCACCCTCTTGTTGGGCACCACAGCAGAGAGGGTGCAGGGCCCTGGTGACACCCAGCCAGTCTGCCACCTACCAGTCAAACAACAGGGGAGGGGCATGGGGGGGGGAAGAGACAGGAGGAGGAGGAGGAACAGAGGGCCCAGGAGCCTGGGTGCAAGACGGCTCCGTTAGTTGGGGGCAGGTGGTTGGAGAAGTGCTGTGTGGGGCCGGAAACTCCCTTCGAATGTTGACTGTTCCTTTGTGCCCAGGTGAGGAAAGACAAAGGCCACCTCTGAGCGCTGGAGAGTCCCAACCTCGGGCCCACGGGCAGCACTTACCCTCGTCAGGAACGGGCTCAGCCGCGGTCTGCTCTGCGGCCTGCAGCTCCTCCTCCAGCAGGGGCTTCTTGGAGCCCTGCCGGAGGGGCCGGGTCTTGGCAGGCGGTATTCTTTTCCCTTTGAATAAAAAGTGGAAGCAAATCCAGCAACAGGATTGTGCGGGAGGCCTCCAGGGCTAAGGCAGCATGGCTGGGGGTCGGGCGGGAGGAGCCACGCTGATGTTAGCCCTCACTGGCTGTGTGTTCCTGGCCGGGTTCATAAAGAAACCAAGGCTCAGGGAGGCTCTCTCTGTCTCTTGACGGCCTGTGGTTTCTTCACCCATGAAGGTCTGACTGGGGCAGGGCCTCCTCCTGCCGGCATCTGGCCAGGGACCTCCTCCCGCTCTCCTCCATATGGTGCCGTCACGAACACACCTCACTGTCACAAGCCTGTGGCCCTCAAGGACGGCTTTGCCTCTCCCATGCGCTGTCCCTCCCCAGCCTGCTTACAGCTGGGCCACCGCTAGCTACAAAAACCCCCTTATTTTATAAGCTGTCCCAAGACACAGGTGAAGGGCAGGTGGGGCCAAAGGGCAAGGGAGGAAAGGTGGGGAGGGACGAGAAGCTAAGGTGATGAGACACATCTCGAGGTAGTCCTACAAGGCTGGCCACCCCTCCAGGCCCCGCCCCTCCAGGCCCAGGCCCAGGCCCAGGCCCAATGCCTCCCTCCCCAGACCCCATCAGCCTGAGTACTTTGAAGCATCACTTACGTTTCTTCCCAAACTGTTTCTTCTTCTTCTTTGTGGCTTCCTTGGCCTTCAGAGGTGTGGCTGGCTCTGTTGTAGAAAGATAAGAGAAGAAATGAGAAGAGAATTCTGGAAGGTCACAGGGTATAGGCAATACCCTGAGACACTGGCACCCCTTCCTTATACACAGGGCCCCAACGAGGCTGGGCAGGGCCAGAAGACAGGGCAGGGAGGCTAGAGGTCAGCTGTCCCTTCTTCCCACCTTTGTCACAAGGGGTACTCAGAGGACCTGGGTGGTCTACTTGGGTGCCCAAGGGCACGAACATATGACAAGTGGGCAAGACCAAAGAAGGCACTCTATAGGCCAGAGGGACAGGAACCAGGCGGGGAAACGGCTCCTGCCTCACTTGGGAGTGGTCCGTGCAACTTCATGACCTCATGCCAAGGACTCAGGTGGGCCAGAGGGGAGGGAGGTGGTTGGCGGGAGGGAAAAAGAAGAGGAGGCAAAGTCAGGGCCCTCCAGGCCCCCAGAGCCCAGACCTGCAGCCACGGGGGGCTGGAGCTGGTAGCCGGTGAGCTCGCACCAGCCGACGGGGTAGATGTCCGGGGACTCGCAGTCCACCCACTGGTCGTATTCGCTGTCCCAGCCGTCAAAGTGGATGCTGAGGAGCCTATGCACCACCTGCTTCACGGTGGCCACGCAGATGAGCCGGGGCTCCATCAGGTCCACGGCCTCCAGCTTCATGCCCACCTTGAAGCCGTGGTTGGGGCAGTCCTGGGGGCGGGGCAGGGACAGGTGTCAGGCGGCCAGACTCGGGGAGGGCTCCTCTGATACTGAGCCCACTGTACCGCTTCCCCGGCCACAGCCCCTCTCCATGGGAACCAAGGAGCAGCACAGGGCCCAGCCGGACTCTGGGACTCCTCCCAACGGGGCTGATCTCAGCGGCAGAGACTCAAGGAAAGAGCAAGGGCTGGCACTACAGCCCGGACAGTGGTCTGCGGGGCCAGTCCTGAGGCCGCTCGGCCCCCATTCCACCCTGTCCCCTCACCATGTTAAAGAGTCTTGCTGGGGCTGCTTTTGACTTCGTCTTTTCCAAGTAGGCCTCCCAGTTGAAAGTCTGTGCCTCGTATCCTGGGTGAGCAGGAGGTTCAAATGTTGAGCAAGATGAGGGCCGTGGAAAGGGGGTGGGGGAAGGCCTTACTGCCGAGGGGCCACCACAGCCTGGTTAGGATGTGTCCTGGAGTCCACCCAGCAGGCTCCCCCTCATCCCCAGGCCCGCATCTGTGCTAGGATCGCGGTTCCTCGTTGGACAGGTTGTTCGTTGCCTACGAAGCCACACACCGACCACAGGGCTGAGTCGACTCTGGCAGCCTAAGGGCCAGCTGTGGCTCTGCATCACCTCTTGGATACGGCTCAGAAGTGCGAGCCCCAGGGGTCTGCCTGGCCTGGAGTCCAGGCCTATGGCCTCACCCTGCCCCTCCCCACCAGGAGGCCAGATCACAGTGGCCTCAGGAGTCTGACCTTTCGGGGGTGTGAGCTCAATGTCATTCTTCTGGCAGAACATGGCTGGGAAGATGGCGTGGGAGGAGGCGTGGTAACAGAACCAGTCTGAGCCATCCGTGGAGGGCCCACCATCCACACAGATCATCAGGTAGCCATCCAGCAGAACCTGTCGCGGTGGGCAGACAGTGAACAGCACACCACAGACAGCGGCCCCAGCTGCTGTAGCAGGGACACAGATGGCCCCGCCTGGGTCGAGGGCAGCCTTTCCTGGAGCCGCTCCTTCAGAGCGCCGAGCACCTCTGAACTACACAGCGGGCCAGCGGGCCACGTACCCTGCTGGAAGGACAAATGAGCCAGGGGTGCCACGGGTGGCTGCTGTTCTCAGGCTGTAGCCAACGTGGAGGAGGCTGTGCAGCCCGCCGGCCCGGGGCTCACAGCTAGGCCAGCACTCAAAGGACATGACATACTGGCTGCAGGAAGCCCCCAGTGAGGGGACAGAGCAGGGTCACGTGACTCAGGAGCAGGCTCAGGCCGGGTGTGCAATAAGCACATGTTCAATGTAGCCCAGACCCGGCCTGAAATATTCTGAGGAAAGAGCGGACCTGTCACGCCCGCCTGGGGCTCCAGGAACAACGAGTGCTAGGGAAGGCAGCACGGATGCCTCTGGGCCCAACAGTGTGCCTGCTGCTGGGAAGCAGAGGTCTGCTGCCACCTTGGCGCCCGGGGAAGCCCAGCCGAGGTGCAGGGCCGGCCCAAGCTCACCTTGCAGATGGTCACCACACAGATGTTGCCCAGGTTCAGGGGGTCGATGGCCTCCAGCTTCATCCCCTCCTCAAACCAACCACCTTCAGTGTAGACAGCTCGTACCTTAAGGAAATGGAGCAGGCGGGGCACGTGTGAGCAGGCCAAGGGGAAGGGCAGTGCCCACAGGCCGGGCATGGACCTATGGCCAGGGGAGAAGTCCCAGGGGCTGTGCCTCACCTTCTTGAAGAGGTAGGGGACTGCATCACAGTAGATTTTCCGGAAGGTGGGATGGTGAGCCATGTCGCTGCGCCTCTCTTTTGGGGTGACAGGAGTGGGAGAGAGAAGGGAACGGAAGACAGCTAGCGGGGCCTTTGCAGGTCTGCCCCTGGGATGAGGGCCGCTTGGCAGCCCCTACCCCACAGGCAGACAGACCAGTCCAGCCCAGGAAGCAAAGAGCACAGACTGTTTGGTCCCTGAGTGCAGCCACCCTGGAGCCTCACATTCTCCCCACGTGATAGGGGAGAGGGCCAGGGGGCTATGGATTTTACAAGCTAAGTGACCTTGGCCAAGTCACATAAGCTCTCTGGGCCTCAGCATCCCATCGACCCCCTGAACCTGGGCAACATCTGTGTGGCGACCACCTGCAAGGTGAGCTTGGGCCGGCCCTGCACCTCAGCTGGGCTTCCCCGGGCTCGTGGCCTTGTGCTGAGGTGCAGGGCAGGTGTCCCCTCCCAGGCCTTGGAGACAGAGCCTTAGGTCACCGGCCCGGGCCTCTGCCAACCTGACATCTTGATGCCGTGGCCAACACGCCGTGACCAGCCCACTGGGTGGATCAAGGGGCTCCACATGTGGCACCAGAAGTCATCATCACTGTCACCATCCTCGTAGAGGAGCCGCAGGCGGCCCCCGATGACTGTGTCCACCACGGCCATGCGAGTCCGCGACACCTGGGCCTTGTCCACCACTTCCAGCCGCATGCCCTGCCGGAAGGGGTACTTCATGCTCTCCGCCATCTGAAGAGACAACAGACACACGTGCCGGTCACGGGGACCTCCTGCTTCTGAAGTTCCTGGAGGACAGCAGAGGTGTCGGGGATCATCCCAAAGACTAAGGCAGGACGTGGGCAGGTGATCCTCCATCACCCCTGGCTCAAGCCGGGCCTCATTCCCTGGGACAACGCTGAGGGCAAAATGGCAAAAGCTGGAACCTGGGCACCGCTTCCCATCACCCACATGCCATAAAGTTGATTTGATGAGAATTATGAAACCCATTTCAGAGTAAGGAAACTGAGGTGTCTTTGAAAGGTCACATGACTTGCCCACCCAGAGTCATAGACTCATTACAGCCAGAGCTGGGCCTCCAGCAGGTCCCAAGTGAGCAGCCTCATACACTCCCACAGGGCTCTGCACTCTGCTCCCAGGGGCCATACCACGCTCCCTCAGCCTCACACGTCGAGGCCCCGTGTGGCTCCTGTCACAGCATCTCAGGAGCAATCCTGGCAGGGCCTAGGGGAAGGGCGGGAAGAGCCCTTTCGGCCTGCTGACTGGGAGAGCTGGTCCCCAGCCTAGGAGGGGGGTGAGCAGGCTATTGTTTAAGCCTGAGCATACCAGGCGGGGGACTGGCTCAGAGGTCAGCAAGCAGAAGACAGGAAAGGCCGACTCCTACACCAGACAGGAGTGGCCCTGGTGGTGGCGCAGTGATTAAAAGCTCTGCTGCAAACATAAAGGTCGGCAGCGGGGACCTGCTGGCCGTTCTGCAGGGGAAAGACCTACAATCTGCCCCTGCAAAGATCTTAGCCCAGGAAACCCTACGGGGCAATGCTACTCTGTCAACCCGGAGTGGGAACTGACTTGTCGGCACACATAAGACCAGGCAGATCCTTGAGCTGCAGCTCAAAGGCTGGGATACATCCTGACACCGGAGCCCCGTCCACGGGAGACATGGCACAGGGTGAGTCCCAGTCCGAGCTCCTCTGGGGCCCCTCCCCTCCCCAGCCCTTCCTGTGACGATCCCTTCCTCTGTGCCCCCCACCCCGCAGCCCACAACCCAACGCTGCGCAACTGCATGTATTTGTTTATGGTTACACACCAGAACCTGAGCAGTGCACAGGCAGAAACTGGGTCTGGTTCATTTGCACAGCCTCAGCCCCAACACAGAACCAGGCAGGGTCAGTGCTCAGTAAATGCTTTTTTCCTGGATAAACGAACAAACACGAGCACACAGCCTTGACCCTGGCTGACTGGTCATTCATTCATGCAAAACATTTCACTGAGCACTTACTCTGCTGCAGGCACCAAGGGGCACGTCTGGATTGGAGCTACCTCCACAACCCCATCCTCCTCCCCCCTCCACACCCCAAATCTTCAGAGGGGACTGGCACGTCAGGCTCCACGCACTTGCACGGGAAAGGCCTGTCTTATGAAAGCTGGAGGCTCCATGTCAAATCAAGTCCCTTCTTCTCCCAGTGACCCCTCAAGGCCTCGCTCCACAGCAACTCTGTCCCCACGATCTCAGTGTGCCCCCTTTCTGTCCGCCATGTCATCTTTTTGCCCCAACCAGGGGCTGGGCTGTCTTCTGTGTCTGTATCCCCCTGCAGTGTGCTCTGCAGGACTGGGTACCTACCTAACAGCTCAAACCAAACCAAACGCAGTGACATCAAGTTGATTCACCTAACAGCTAGTCAGTGCTTAATGGCTGCCTGGCTCTTCCATGCAGAATCCAGCTCCTTCTCATTTATGTAGAAAAGCAGCCTCCTTGAAAGCTAGGGGCCTGCACCACCCACTATCTCCTGCCTCATCTAAGACAAGGGCCAGCCTCAAAAGAGTTAACAATCATCTTCAATCACAAATATGGCAGCTGTACAAGGCGCTATGAGGAAGCACTTTCAACAACGTAAACTCCAAAACCCACTGCCATCAAATAAATTCCAACTCGCAATGACCTTACAGGATACAGTAGAACGGCCCCACAGGGTTTCCAAAGCTGTACTCTTTATGGAAGCAGCCTGCCTCATCTTCCTCCTACAGAGTGGCTGGTGGGTTCAAACTGCCAACCTTTTGGGTAGCAGCCAAATGCTTTAACCACTGAACCATCAGAGCTCCTTCATTAACAACATGTGGAGTGATAACTAGCAAATCCGTGGTACCCAGTAAGTTCAAATAAGAGACAAACCATTTCTAGTTTTAGAGAACAAGCCAGGGAGTGCTGCCATGAAGCGCTGTGGGCCATTCCCGCTGAAGCGCAGTTGGGCACTCGCTAAGGTCCATAGTGTAAAACTGCTCCCTTGGCATCCAGTGCCTTGGGTGACATGGCTCCAGTTTCCATTCCATCCTCATTCTCGACCAGTGGCTTCCACAACCCGGTGCCCTGCCCGCTGAGGTTCCATTCAGATGCCATTTTCCCCATGAAGCCTTTGAAGACACACTGACACGTCCTTGGGGTTCCTGCCCGAGGCTCAGAGAACTGCCTGCCTATGTATCCCCAACTCAGGTGCGGCCCAGCACTCACAAGCGAGAAGACCTTCCCACTGTCTGCCTTTCTGACCCCTCTGAATCTGTACTGTGTACATAGGACTTTCTAAGTTAAGCAACTGTATGCTTTTTAATTAAAATAACTAGCCACACAGATGGTTCCAGACACACCCACGGTTTAGAATCAGGGCAGTTTTCCTTCCTCTGCCAGATGGAGAGTCCTGGATGGCAGGGTCCGATCCTTTTATGCCCCCCAGTACCAGAGAATAAGTACACTGCAGAGGAAGGTGGAAAGTCAGAAACAGAAGGAGGATCTGGACTACCGCCTCCTGTGGCATGAGGCCAGGAGAACCGGATGGTGCCTGGCTACCGTTACTGACCATTTGGATCAAAGATTCCATATGAGTCCTGATCGAAAGGGGAAGACAGAACAGAGTTTCCACGTGTCATGGAACCTAGACTTTCCGGAGCCCTGAAGGCTAGATGAACCCCTGAAACTACTGCCTGGAGATGATCTTTAAACTTTCAACTCAAAATGTCCCCTGAAGTCTTCTTAAACCAAACAACAGTTCAGCTTCCCGACTAAAGAATGCCTGCCTTGGCCACTGAGCTCTCTGAAGACCTCTCTGTGTGGGATCAAATTGACAACAGCAGCTTGAAAGATTAGACAGGCCCTTTAGGGGGCAGTGAGTTCACGTTAAAGTAGGAGGAACAACTCAGAAGAGGCGGGTGAGCCTGGTCATGCAATTCAGAGAATATCATCGATGCCACTGGGTTGTACACGTAGAAACCGCTGAACTGGTCAATGTCTGCTGGGCTGTGTGTATTTTCAATGAAATTAGTTACATATATTTAAAAACAAAGTCCTAGGCAAAAAGCATTTAATCAAACCCATCGCACGAACCCTGCTGAATACAGCTAGGAGCAAAGGCAAGGCTGGAAGAGCAGAAAGCAGACAGATGATGGGGCTGGAAGGGGAGGAGTCTGACCCGAGCTGGAACGGCACATGGCAACCACACGGTGGCAGAGTTTGATCCATCTTGGGACATGTCAAGACACCGAAGACTGTCCTGCCAGAGAGCCTTTGGAAAAAAAATACTCCGGCAGAAGGAAAGGAATCTAGACCCAGAGCTTTTATCTTTCAAAAAAATTAACTCAAAATGGACCACAGACCAAATGTAAGATGCAAAACTATCCAACTTCTACAAGACCACACAGGGGAAGATCGATGGGTCTTGGGTTTGGTGATGACTTTTTAGATGCACCACCAGAAGCATGCTCCATAAAAGATAAAATCAATGAGCTGGACTTCCCGAAGAACTGAACAGAAACCTCACCCAATAAGATACACGAACACAAGCCCGACATCATATGCCGTTAGGAAATTGCAGACCCAAGTGACAACGAGACACCACCACGTGCTTCTAAACCAGACTCACTGCCATTGCATCCACTGTGACTCACAGCGACCCCCCTTGGGTTTCTGAGGCGGTAAGTCTTTACGGAAGTGGATTGCCCAGTCTTCCTTCCACAGAGTGGCTGGTGGGTTTGAACCTCCAACCTTCTGGTTAGCAATCAAATGTCTTAGGCACTGCACCTTCAGAGCTCCTTATTAGAATGGCTAAAAATCCAAAACACCAAACGCTGGCAAGGATGTGGAGCAACAGAAACACATTCATGGCGGGTGGGGGTAGGAGGGGCTCGCAAAATGTTACAGCTGCTTTGAAAGGTAAGTCTGACAGCTTCTTACAAATGTAAACACAGGCTAGCTGAGATGACAATCACTCTCCTAGGTGGTTACCTAAGAGATAAAACCGTGTATCCACCTAAAAGCTTGCCCGTGAATGTTTACAGCAGCTTTATTCACAACTGTAAAAAACTGGAAGCAACCAAAATGTACTTTATCCATATAAAAATGAAAAAAAAAATGAACCTACTGCCCTTGAGCCATTCAGACTCATGAACTCATTAGTAACCCTATAGGACAGAGGAGAACTGCCCCATAGTTTCCAAGGCTTTTATCTTTTCAGAGCAGCTGGCGGGCTTGAACTACTGACCTTTCCACTGCACCACAGGGCTCCATGGTACATCCACATGATGGCACTATCACGTGACAGTAGTAAGAAATGCGCTATCAAGCCACAAAAAGACACAGAGGAAATTTAACTGCGTACTGTTAAGTGAAAGGAGTCAGTCTGAAAAAGCTCCACCCTACATGATCCCAACAACAATGATGTGTCGCTTAACAAACACAGTACGTTCTGTGGAACAGGACGCCGTGCAAACATCGTCTCATGTACTTGGCAAACAGACATGCCTAAATCATGAGCAACGGCATCCACTGATTTCCTACCTTCCTATTGTTTAATAACTTTTTGTTCCACTTCCAAATATGTCCTTCTCCTTGGCCTCTTGCTGCTGCTGTCAGTAGCATTGGTTTTGCTGTGTTTGGGAGCCATGATGCACTTCATTGTCAAAAGAAAACAAAACAGAGATAATGCCACAACGCTCAAGAGAGACACTCCGTACACAGGCTCAGATGTTGCTGCCCGAGAGTGGAAGCACACTGTTTAGACAGAAAGCACAGTACAACAGGTATATAAGCCAGTAACAGGCGTTTGTCAGCACTATCATGACGTATGTATCATGGCTTACACACGTACTGGGCCACTATGTGCAGGGCAGTGCAATCACTTTGTATACAAGAGACATGACACACACGTGTTGTGTGCAGGAAGCTGTCATGTTCGTGATGTCCAGTTACATTCACTACGCCCCAATCTCCAATGGGGATTTCTGAACTCTGTTAGAACCTTATGGGACCAAGGACGTATATGTGGTAGGATGTTGCCTGACCAGATGTTATGTGGTCATTCTGGAGAAAGCCAAACTGTAGAATGAAAACATCAGTGGTTGCCACGGGGAGGGATGACTAAGTGGAGACAGGGCATTTTCAGGGCAGTGAGACCACTGTCATGTAGACACGTGACATGAAGCATTTGTCAGAACCCCTAGGACTGTATAACACAGAGTGAACCTGAAGGTGAACCATGAACTTAATAATCGTGAATCAGTATTCTTTCATCAACTGTAACAAACAGACCACAGGAATAATCCAAGATGTTAATAGGAGAAAAGATGCGTGAGAGGAGGGGAACATGCGGGAACCCTATACTTTCTGCACAATTTTTCCATAAAACATTTGGTTAAACTGCCGTTGGTCAATTCTAACTCATGGCAACCCCGTATGCTACGGAGTAGAACTCCATACGTTTTTTTTTAAGACATTATTTTTTAAATTGTCTGAAAAATAAAGTATATTTTTTAAAAAAAAAAGCAGAAAAGAGGGAGGGAGACCAGTTAGGAGACCCACAGGGCTCTCCGCCAGACCTTGATGTGGAAATCCACAGGGAGGGTCCGGGAGCCCACCAGCCGCTTCATGAGGTAGCCCTTCCAGTCAGTGAACTTGGCATGGATGGCTGCGGAGACAAGAGCAGAATCCTGGTGACAGACTGATGACGCTCCCGTGACAGGGCCAGAGCTGACCCAGCACCAAGAAGGAGGCCCGAACGATGTATTTCTGCCTCTTCAGGCCAGCAGACCACCTCATCTTATAAAGCTGGACTCCATAACTTGGATCGGCCACGGGGCCTTTGGGCAAGGAAGGGCAGGAAGCAAGGAGGCAAGTCGTTCCCTTCTGGTCTAACGTAACAGAGGGCCCCCTTCTAGAAAGGGCCCTATAGGAACCAGGACAGGGACTGGTCTCATCAACTCACTCCGCGGAGGCACCAGGATCTTGCTATTGATGGCACACCAGCCAATGGGGTGTACATCCACGGTTCCCAGGTTGCACCAGAAGTCATGGCTGGCGTCACTTTCAAAGCCTTCATAGCGGAGCAGCACCCGATAGCCTGCAAGGAGGAAAGGGCACCAGTGAGGGGAGGGGGGTGGGGAACAAGCCTGCCTTCTTCTCTAGCCTATACTGAACTCCATTCCAGGAACTCACGGGCACCAGGTCCCTGTTCTCCACAGCAGTCACACAAAGCCATGCCGCCAGGAATTAAGCCGCCAGGAATTAAGCCACCAGGAAGACCCTCAGTGGGGTGGACTGACACAGTGGGCAGGGCTAGGGCTGTGAGGCTGGCGTAGGCTGGGCACTGCTCTGTCCTGCGGTACACGGGGTTGCTGAGAGTTGGAGCTAACTCAATGGCACCCGATGACGACGACATGGCAGTGATGAGAACCAACTGTTGACAGCATGAGCACCCTTGGAATAAACTGTGAAAATGGGAGTTTCCAAGTTTAGCAAGCTCTGTTCCCTGCCAAGACAGGCAGGGTGGGAGAATGCCAAGAAGGGAATCAGAAACGTCAGTGGGAGTTTTGCCTTAGGCCAACTTCTGCCTCCCCACTGCCCACCCTCGACTAGAGAAATCACTCTGCGGCCCCGCCCCCACCCCTCCCTGCCCTGCGAGGCCTACCCGCTGCCTGGATGACAGAGGCAATCCAGTAGACCCCGCCCCCTCCCTGCCCTGCGGCGCCTACCCGCTGCCTGGATGACAGAGGCAATCCAGTAGACCCCGC